TGGTGCCAACGCCAAAAGAATAATAACAATAATGACAGGGGGTTGGGATACAGAACATAGGAAAAAGAAGGCACTGTTAAAATGGAAAATCACAAATAAATGGGATAACAATTTTTTATTCAACCGTAAAATTTTGGAAATTTGTGTGTTAGTTTCTTTTTAATGGGGCACGGGACTTCGACAGACAAACCNNNNTCTATTCTGGGCCATATCTATCAGTGTCTCTAACTAACGACAAGCCTCATCCCTTAGGCCCCCACCTGAAAGGCGGGCTGCACCAACCGAAGCCAACGCTGAAGTCAGCTTCTTCACACCTCTACGTGACTAAGCCATCGTGATTACTTCTGTTAGAGGACGACTTTCCGCACTCAGCACATGACGACGAACCTCGTCATTACTCACCCGGTGTTCCCATCAGACACGAGCAATGCTTCGGAGAAATCGGTGGTCAAATACAGAAAGTCGATTAGGATCCTCAACGAGGAGGGGCCAGGTCTCGTATCCGTAAAGCAGAACACTGCGAACCGCTGTAATGTACACCTTTCCCTTAAAGGATAGTCAGATGCAATGGCGGCGCTACAGGTGTCACAGGTTAGCGAAAACTGCTCTAGCCTTCGCTATTCGTGATTTGACCTCCTCTCCAACACCAACACCAGCTGCGATCAAGCTCTCAACTACTTCCAGTTGATCACCACAGAGAGTGATTGCAGGTACAGGCTCCTGTCAGTCTTGAACAAGCACTTTGCACTTGGAAGGTGCAAAGCACATATCATATCTGGATACTTCTATCGCCAAGCGGTTTAAAGCGTCTTGGACTACCTGTGTGTTGTCACCCAGCAACGCGATGTCATCGGCATATTCCAAGTCAAGGACTCTGTTCCCTGGGAGGAGTTGGACTCCCCCGTCCGCTAGACCGGACAAAGCATTATGTAGAACATCCTCTATGACAAAGGGATATAGGGCAGTCTTGTCGAACTCCAGTCGAGACGGCGAAGGGTGACGAAAGCTGCCCATAGGCCCTAACCCGACCTAAGGTATGATGATACAACTCTTTGAGGATCGATACATATTTCTCAGGTACTCCGTTCCTCAACAAACAATTCCATAGTGTAGTCCTATCGATAGAGTAAAAGGCTACGCGGATGTCTAAGAATACAACGATCGCTGGTCTCTGATAAGCATGATGGTGCTCTAGCAGCTGTCGGAGGGAGAACATTTGATCGATGCATCCACGACCGGTGTGAAACCCAGCCTGCTCTTCACGCATCGTGTACAATCGCCGGAGAATGATGGACGCCAACAGCTTTGACGCTATCGGGATTATGCTTATACCCCTAAAATTGGCGCAGTCACTGCGCTGGCCCTTTTTGAAGATGGGGACGACAATCGATTCCCCCCACGAGGAGAGGACTTGCTCAGTGTTCCAAACCTTAGAGAACAGTTATCTAACAAGCTTCATTCCACCATCTTTAAATAGAGCAAAGGGGAAGGCCATCGGAGGCCGGCGCTTTGTGAAATCCCAAGGTTTTGATCTCCTTACGGATTTCCGTCTCAGAAGGTGGGTCTGTTGAAACAGACCATGGGACATGTGCTGGAATAGCTGTGTGAAAAGCCGAAATTGGTGGCCAGCTAAACTGTGCCTTGAAGTGCTGCGCCCAGCGTTTTAGACGTCACTGTTGATTGTGAATGGGCGAACCTAGAAAAAATCCTATATGACCAAGCGTCTAAAATAGTCCCTACTCACGGTCTTCTCGTGGAGGAGGTTTTTTCTCAATTAAGCCGATACCCGGGGCTATAACCGGGTTGGTGAACCATTGGCAGTTCACTTAAGGGAGTTGGTTAAAAACCCTGACTCCAAACCAACCAAGGAGAGTACGAACCACACGCAGCCGCTCCTTCCTGGTTGTGATAGTGGTCACTGGCTCGATTGGGCATCAAGATGTATAGGGCACCTTGGACGTTTTACCCCGTCCAAAGGTTGTAGGATTCAATGAACTGCGGATTCTGAGCTCCGTCCTGTTGTTTTGCAGGTATGGCTTTCTAGCTAAAGAACTCGGGTGGGAACGTCTACGTTCTGAAATAAATATCAAAAATATTGGTTCGACTATCCGTCCACCACGAACCAAAACGAACACGATAATATATCGGCCGCGGCGCACGACAACCGGAGCCATGTTGTCTANGTTGTCTATCGCACTGAATGGGATAGGTAGTTATGTGTAGGCTACTGGTCACTTATCCCAACCTTGCTTTATTTCTTCATCTCTTGTCCGCAAACCTATTCCACGAAACATTCCCTCAAAGAACATGTTTGTCATTCATCCAAGCTCGTTGCCTCATAGCGAAGTATGTGATGCGCCAACGAATGAATTGAAAGTGTTCTGAAGCCTCGTCTATCCCTAAATTTAGGCATATTCGAAATGAAGACTCTCGTACGTGTACAGTGCGAACTAAGGATCCCAAAGCAATTGAGAGTACCATTTGTCATCCAGATACTTTTTCGGGCATCTGGAGACGGTGAAACCCGTTCCTTAGCTTAGCACGGAGTAGATATTGTACTAAACAACAAAACTGAAGCCTGATCATTGACTGGATTCTCCTCAACAGTAATGGGTGCGGCACCAACGATCGGTATTCTGAAAGGAAACAACACTTAAAGGTGTTTGTTCATCATCTGAGCATGTTTGTCGAGTGAATATAGTTCTGATGCACAAGCCACAAGCCAATCATGGAACGTTTTTTTCTTTTTCATGAAGATTTTTGTACCATGATTTGCCTGGTACATAGTCTGTCCTCAGACAAGTGTGAAATATAATAATGATGCACAAAAAGACGGATTATAAGACAAGTTGATCAAACACATTCGATAGAACCGAAGCTCTGTTGTACTTTTGCTGGCAGGTGATTTTAACGCGCAGGTTGGGAAACTGAGTGCATCGGATGATTGCCTAGGCAAATGTTCTGCTCTGCATCGCCGCCAAATAGATGACAATGACCGAACCCCTCGGTTCTGCGCAGACAACTGCGTTTCTTTCCAGTACCAATTTGGACATCGATTTCGATGGACGGCGACGTAGCGCTCCAATTCAACCGGTACGCTAACTCAAATCAACCATAGAGCAATAAGCTACCGCTGGCGTGGCTAAGTGCAAAGTTGCAGGCCCTACTGAACCACCTACGTTGAGTCCGATCATGCAATCGTTTTCATTCAATTTATGCTTCGGCTCACTGGGCGCAGACAAAATCAGGAAGCTCGGTTGACCCATCATCAACGGTCTGATACAGCCAATAATCGCACTGCAACGTGCGGTGTAGGTGAACATTGGGATCGGATTAAATGACCAATGCATTCGAGGAGTTTGTTCTGTCCACGACTTCTGGAGTAAAAGTTGGAAGCTGGGAACAATTATCAGATTTAAGGTTTTCAGAAGCCAGCGGAAAGATAGTTGATAAATGTTTCAATAATTCTTGGATTTACAGAAAAACCTTGATGTCCACAACAAACAAATATGTCACATGGACGACGAGTGATTTCTGTTCTTTTCCACCAAGCAAAATGTGTTTTGTAAAATAGCGGGAAACATGTGAACTTGACGTCATAAGCATTGAATTATTCATTCAGCCAACTTCGCCTACTTTACCAGATTTGAATTCCCACACTTTGGACGTGCCATATGTCCCTACCACGCTTGTAAAATCCCAGAGGTTGGTTGTGGATATCTTAAATTAATCTTTCTTCTTCTTCTTCAGTCAAGGTCGACCAACCCAACCTAGAACAAACAGTCTTCATATTTTTGTGTAATTACACACATTGGTGCGACTAACAGCAGAGGGAGTTGGGCCCCATAGTTGCGAAGATCTGTTGTTTTGTTACTTGGAGTGCCCAACCACCTAAAGCCCCGTAGAATCAGGTGCGGTATTAAATCAGGCGATAGGAAAAATGCCACCACGAAAGTTGGGTGGTGGCGATTGAACCTCGAAGCACAGGATTCAAAGCAGGCCGATGACAGCGACTTAAAGGTTAAATATACTCTGCAAGCAGGGGTCACCTACCGCGGAACACAACAAGACTGATGGTCTTATTCAACATAGAAACATGACAGTGAAATTGAAGTACAAAGCTCACATCGCGAAGCTAAAAAAAACTAGCACTCGTAATTGCAGAAATAAATGATGAAATCGGCAGGATGTGACTCACGGCTAGGATATACCACTACACTCCGTAGGGGGACCTAGGATAGCACAGTTCTACAGTCACTGAAGTTATACACTAGTGGGTGCGTTTTCGTACTCGCGGATGGGCAAGCTACCAGCGTGGTGGGTGAGCATCACTTTTCTGAGACACGTTTCTGGAGGATTAGAGACTATGCTTAGGAATTTGACCGGCTTTCTCCCTATAAAAACGACCTCTCTTTGGAAGATGATCACACAAGACAATTAGACAAGAATTTTAATTAAAGAACCGAGTCACATTCATGAGATTGGATTGCCCGTTAAAAATCAGAGAGAATATACGAGTCGTAACGTGGAACTGAATGACTCTATCGAAGTAAACATAACTGAAATCAGAATCCACCTACTTATCTGACCAGAGGCTAGTGACCATGCGCTCACCTGATGGAAATAACCGCGAACCAGGGCGCGCAATACCGGTTCCGGATTGCCTTCTGGTTCGGCACGAACCCAGGGTAATTTTAGTCGAGCAAACATGGCTCCGATACGATCACGAAGAGTCAGAGCATGAGACAGTCCACGTTCATTCAATCCAGCATCACGACACCAGGCTTTGAGTTCACTAGGTGAACACTGTGTGGTCTGATGTTCGTAGGCAGTGAACGCATTCAGTTCCGTCAGATGATCACCTTGGCGGCAACCGAACAGCTGGCGACGAACACGGTCTCCTGTGCGCTTTTGACCCGCACTAGTGACAAAAATACGTTGAATCTGGAAAGTAATAGGATGAGATTCGAGAAAGAAATTGAGTATGATATGTTACCGATAATAGTTACAATAGTAACCATTAGGAACTGCAAACAATTACCTGCATCAATGCCACGATGGCAGCAACTTCCTGAGAACAACCCTCTTCACACGCCCCTAACAGAGCGGCTGCTGCCGACGGCTGATCCAAGCCACAAGCAGTAGACACCTCAGCTAGTCTCAGCCCCCGTGGCATGGTCAATCGTCCCGTGTCCGGGTCCAAGGCGCCAAGTGCAACNGCCTACATGTGAAGCCGGAGGTGGATCTAGCCAATCAAATCGAGCCAATCGGTCGACCCCGAGTGTTTTCAAACGTAGCAACGCACCAGACAGATCCGTTCGGACAGACTCGGGTGGAGTAAACCGAGGCAACGCGTGAAAGGCGTGTTCTGAATACAGACGGTAGGCCTAAAATGCAAAACGGTCAGCTTGGAATTTTAGTGAGATGAATTCAGAACCAGATTGACTATTTTCTATTCTAATACATTCTCACGGGAATCAGACGATTAATGTACATAAAAGATTATCAGCTTTGTTGAAGAAAAAACAAAGCTCATGTTGCTATTGTTCGGCTGAATACTACGCCTGGTTCATTTGTAATCCACCGCATTAAGTCCTACCGCTTAAATTACCAGTCAATTCGAACCACAACCGCCCATTTCGATTGCATTTACATGACTGTAGCTTTAACACTTGGGAGTTATCACTTTTACGGTCGGCTCCGATGAACCCAATCGAGAAAATCTCAAGTGTTAAGAGATAAGAAACATACGAAAAAATAAAGCGGACAGATATAGGAATAACACTGCTCACAATGTAGCCATATTCCATGATGTCTCTGGCCTCGGGCTGAGCGACTATCGCGGGCCTATGATCGGTCATTCAATGAGAAATATATAAACTAGATTGAATACTACGATTTTCACCTCGTTTCCTCGTCATGGACTGACTGCTTTTACTCTATTCTCTAACCCAAACATTGTTTCTTCTTCCTCTCTAAAGTGCACTCCAGAAGAGCAGTCCCGAGTGACTTCATCACTGAAACCCATCATGAGTGAGTGGACGATTATGAACATCGGGTTGTATACCTACACAACGACAGAAGACGAAACTTGTTCCCATGTTAAATACAGTGTAACTCTTCATGCTATGACGTGCATTTCTGTATGACCAAACTCGTGCAATATTCTGATTTTCATCACATTTGTTCCTTTCTATGCTTCGTTTTTCTAGCCTCATTCACGAGATTAAATATGATATTGCCCCACATCAGACGCAACATATCTAAGACCCACTTATGTCCTTGCTTCCATTACTTACTTTTACTTTTTTTACTCAAATCGGTTTCTTAGATGTCTTTAATGATGACGGCCCATGCATGACGCAAGGTTGACGCAGTGAGAAACCCAGTTCTTCCTTTTTTAGCCTCATGTGGCCACATGCCAATGAAACGTACGATTTCCGGATTTTGACGATGGTTGTCGGTGCATCAGTTGTAAAATAACAAAGTCACAGTTTAAAACGTAACTAGAATTTATTTATTAAAATGACTTTTAGACTTCGTATAGATATTGTACTTTCATTTAGTCCACGTTCCATTTGCTTCTCTTCATTTTTGAGCACTGGAGGCAGTCGCTTCAGCATGGAGTCCACCTAGTTGACTGGCAAACAGAATTTGCTAGTTTCCTCCAATAAACCCCACACCCTAACCACTGACGACCAATGTCATGGCAGCTGACTTAACCCTGTTTCTGATACAGGGAAAAATTCTCGATTAAATTAAAATCCTAGCTGCTGCGAGGTAATTGAATGAATTTGACATTCAACTTGATCCCTCCAGAGATTGCATAACTGTGAAAAAAAAATTTAGTTAAGCCTAACCGTTGTCTACTACCAACCTCAAGCGAGAAGCTACACCAAACCTTATCTGTGGAAAATATGAGTTCTGCGAATGAATTCAAAGAGTAGCAGTTACCGAAAACCTCCCTTATCATTTCAATAAATTTTCCGATATCCAGATTGGTGTGCAGGAAACCAACAACAAGGTACTCAGTATTTACTTTTCTTCGAACTCGTTAGGCGGGATATTTACTTCTTTTGATAGGCAGAATGAAATTCATTAGAAAACTAGCTCAGTAAATCAGCTTCCACCGCGTACTGAATTACTCATTGGCCACCAGTGAAATAAACCCATTGCCAGAAGGACAAGCGACGCGATTTGAATTTGTTGGTAAAATCAGCTCGTGCTCTGCTCTGTTGGACGTTCCATAACGGCTTTATATCACATGGCCCCAGCTGCATTTTAAATTGAGCCATCATTTTCCAAACGAAAGCGTGAGGAAAAACGGATAATCATACCGGACTATCCTCCAGATTGGTTTTGTGCAACTCTTCTCTGCTGCGATTAAATACAGCCATCGTCTTGCCTTGATACGATCGGTTTTCTCCTTCTTGGTTTATGTCCTGATGGAGAAATTTCGTTGAACATGTAACAAATTGGACCTATGTTCACATTGAAGCACTTCCACAAGACAATAACTGAGTCATCGGATTTATGCGCCTATGGACTAGGTTGCCTCTAGGCTTCAGTTATATGACAAATCCTTCTGAACGTTTCATCCGGTTTGGCTTTGGTGACACTGTAAGACGCTTATTCAACGAGCCGCACACCTCAAGGTCAACTCTCGAAGAGTAACTTGTATGTTTCTTGAACTATATTTTCAGTTCTTTCAGTATTGTGGATAATGCTTGAGTAGTTCGTAGCCAAATAATTTATCAGTTTATTTAGGCTAGAATATTCTGATTAATTTGCCTAGATACTGTGCATTGAATGAAAAGAGATAAGCAAGTTAGAATACGTGTGCACAACTTAATAAACACTGTCATAGAACAGGCATCATTTTTAAAAAGAATGAATTACCAAGCTGCTTTGCCTAAAATATTTTCGAAATCTCAGCTGAAACTATCGAAGTACTACAAAGTGTGTTGCGACACTCAAGGTAGCGCAAATTCAAAAGGTGATAAAAGAGAACTAAGAACATAGATAGAAGTGGGAGATAAAATCAGGAGTAAATACACTTGACCCATAGCCAGCAATATTGGAGACTGAAATGTATTTACAAAATGAGAATGATGTTGCACGATTTTGATTAACACCTGTAAGCTGCTTAATTACTTGCGATAACCAATGACACTGGCGATGAAGGAAATTGCACAAGCACCTTTTGTTGGGACGAATAGCAATGATATTCGTCCCAAGATAAGCCCGGCTGCATATATGCTAATTCTGTGAAAAAAATCGAACAAATTTACAACACATTCGACCCTTACTAGGGTCATCTCGGATCAATACTAATCTCGCGGAGATTAATCAATAATATTGCGTCATCTGCTCTCAACATTCTAATGATCATTCTGCTGTTTTATCCAAATGGGCAACCAAAACCGACGCACGAAAGTACATGGCTAATGGTTGTAAGAACTGAACTGATGGCGTCATACAGCAATATTCACTTTGTCCGTCCATCTGATCCGTGGCCTATGTCCGGTTGAACTTTGCTCACTGTGTAATTGATTGGTACAATCTGTTTCTGCATTGATTGATATTATTTTGAGTCACAAATAAACATCAGAGTAAAACTCGTAAATTGACTTGTGACTTGTGATTAGCGTCATTAAAAACCCGTGCCTTCTCCCTCGTGTTTTGGGATGCCTAAGAGACCGATAGCCGACCGTGCGTCCTGTGTTTTGCCTAGGTAGCTTCCGCTCCTAGAACTACCATTCGTTGACGGACTTAGTGCTAGTCCGCTGTTCTTGTGTTCCCGTGTGCTACTAGTGTTGTTTTTTTGAACTTGTGGTGTTCACCTGTGATACAGTGCTGTGCCACATAATAGTAGGCAACGGATATAGGTGGCGTAAAACATAACACCTTTGTGTTTGATCTCGGCCTGGTATGGCAAATGGTTAGACTGGTCTAGTGCGCCAAGGCTTCCACTAATGAGGGGTACTAGAGGTGAAGCCAAACCAGCCTGTAGGTGGAAATATTGTATACATATCCAGTTCAAAACATGTGCTAAGAGCGCAGTTTGACTGCTGTTTACAGCTTTCACCGCAGAACGCAAAAGGGCTTACCTCGCCCGTGCGCGTTCGACCAGCACGCCCCGCACGTTGTCGAGCGGACGCCTGTGAGGTGGGCAATGTGACGAGCGCTTCCAACGCGTTAGTCGGATTGTATGCCCGCAATCGAGCGAATCCACAATCAACCACGTAAGAAATGCCAGGCAGTGTGACTGAAGCCTCGGCGATGTTAGTGGCCACGATCACTTTACGACAGGCTCTAGTGGGACGATCGAATATGCGTAGCTGATCGGTCTGAGGCAGTGCGCCATGCAATGGAAGACAGCGCAGCGGACGATAGCCCGGTGTGGAAGACGAACCTTTTGTGCTAGACGGTGTAGAAGATTTGGTTTGTGAGAAGCGTTCTTTTCGATTGCGATATTCGTCCACGAGATCGCCCACCAATTGGATCACTTCATTCTGTCCTGCACATAATAGACCGGAGTGAACAGAAAGAATCAGTAGATGCAGTTATGGTATATCAATACATACATTTCACATACAACTGTTGCACTTTTAAGCCAACTTAGCCGGGATTTCAATTAAGAGTTCAATGGAAAAAAGAATTGTAAGTATCCCTTCTATCTCTTTAACAAGCTGCTAGATTGACTTTCGATTTAGCGCCAGAGGTTTTGTACTCAGGGCGGATGACTGCACCGCCTTACTCCCTAATTATTTGTCATCCTGATTAGATGAAACAGATTGCAACTCTTACCGGTAGATACAGTCTTTTTTATCTTGTTACGTTTTGCGACTCACAACTCGGGTATTTAGTTGGTTTCCCTATCGATCAGATATGATCAGCGGAACCAACCGCGAGCTTCCGGTCTGTTTTGAAACTAGACGGTCAGGAAGCAGTTGAAGTTCACTGCTTCTCGTACATGGGTAGCTGCGTGACCAACGACGGTAGCGCATCGAAGGAGATAACCGCCNCCCGCATTTCCAAGGCTCGAGCAGCGTACGCAGGACTAAAACACCTGTGGCGGCGACGTGACGTGTCAATGAAGTTGAAAAGTTGCGTATACTGCGCCACTGTAAGATCAGTTCTGCTGTACGGTTGAGACCTTGAATTTGCGGGTAGAAGACACCCGTCGTTTAGCAGTGTTCGACAATCGATGCTAACGTAGTCTGGATCAAGAGGGATGAAGTGAGCGGGTTAGTAACCTAGAAGTAAATCGTCCGGTGTTTGGGAATGCATCGAACAAGAACCCGCTATCTCATCGAATCCAGCTCAGTAGGCTCCGTTGGTTAGTTTTGCGTATATCCGATGGTCGCCTACCGCAGCGCGCCTTGTTTGCACTGGCTGTTACAGGCTGGATAAA